GGGTTTCAATCTTATTAGGTTCATTCCAATTGTCAATTGAAGTTCGTCAATTTTTCCATGACTGGAAGAAGTATCTGATGTCCTTTTGGAACTTGTTTGGTAATTTTTATTATTGCAGACCGGAATGACCGAAACCCAAATTTTTTTGGCTTACCATTTTCCTGAAATAAAAATAAATAGATCTCTGTGTTTACATTTTTCCAATCGCGACAGCGATCTCGTTGTTAAAAGATGGATCGGCAGCTGTGTGGGCGCTAGCAATTTCCAATTTTCTACTAGATATCAAATTCCTACTTTTTTTCAGAGTCTTTGAGAGTTTCAGCGGCTACTTTGGAATATTCTTTGGAGTTGCGAAGAGTCTTGTATCATTTTTTGTGGTTTTGACATTAATTTTTCTCGCATATTACCACGCATTATATGTAATAATTGAAGGTGGGTGATCGCCTTCTTTCTAAAAGTTCCGTGTATCGTATCGAAAAGAAGAAATGTTTTTCAATGAAAGATATATTTCGATATTTAGAGGACAACGAAAACTCGACAGCATGGAACGATCCGATGATAATAATTTTCTTTGGATTGGTTGGCATTTTCACAATTACTTATCTCTCGAGTCTACTCATCAGGTTACTGAACGAAGAAGTACATCACGCCAAGGAACGCGAGTCATTTCTCGCTTACAAGATTGAGGTAAATTTTTTTTACTTAAAAAAAAACGACAAACTTTAACAATAGTGACAAAGACATTATATTATCTCTTTACAATAAGATTTTGGCCAAAATCGAACTTTTCTATCTGTTACCACAGCAAAGAAGGTGGAGGCATTGGTTCCCAGATTACATGTGAATATTTCTGCATTTGACTTTTCTTATCCTTGAAAAATTGTAATCTGTTAACAGTTATTCATCTTCCTATCAAGCTATTATACGGCTGATGCGGAATAAAACTTGATAGACAGCAACAACATTCACAGTTTATAAATTCATGTTTGAACAAAGTAAAAACTCGCGAACAATTTTAAGTAATAAATACGGGTAAGTTAATCAAAATCATAATAGAATTAAAGGAAAATTCACATCATATTAGTTTGATAGAAACTGGTGTTCCAGGCATAAATATAAATTAGCTAGATCAGTACCCACACACAAGTCAATCTTCCATCTTGCTAGATCTGTCAGTAACTTAATAATTTCCTATTTTTTTTATAAAAAATTTATTTTATTTTATCTGACTTTCCCACAAGAACATTCTCCAAAACATTTATTAAATAACAACATACTGAATGGTATTAGAATAAAACAACAAACTTAAAGTATCGCCTATTTGCAAAGTTCAGAAAAGTCTCCCAAACTAGGAAGGTAATAATCTGGAACGATAGGAGCATTTTTAATCAAAATATCATGTTCTTTGGAAATTCCTAGAAGCGTTTAATATGCGATAAATGTTGAATGAACATCCAAGGAAATTCCATGCCGAATAAGAAATGAAATGACGAATAATTACCTGTCAACACTAACAACGTCTTTAATTTACCGTTAATTCCAAATTGAATGTCAGTGTTCAAACGATCCCCGATCATGCACGTACGTTCAACGTCCAGTTGAAACTCATTTGTAATGCAATCCATCATCGGTTTATTCGGTTTTCCCATTACAGCATCTGGATTTCTGTTTAATGATTTAATCAAAGGAGCCACCAAAGATCCCGTACCTATATTTAGACTCAAAGTTGTATGGATTAGGATAATAAATAAATAAGATCGTAAAACACCAAAAACGCAAGGTTACCCGGATAGAGCGTTCCATTATAAGGAATTGTCGAATCATCGTTGGTTAGCAGGAAAAGACAATCCGGATTTGAATACAGATAGTTAAAAGCCTTTGCAATTTTTTTATAGTTTATGCGTGTATCAAGGCCACAGAGAACAGCCCCAACCTAAAATCGAATATAACGAGGAAGAATAAGCAACAGATTGCTAATGTATAATTTGCAGTGAATGATAAATACCGTTGGGTCGGGATGGATGTCATTGAAATCAAAGTCTTTTCCATCGTCATCCTCCTAAGGTAAAATGGATTGTTTATGCCGTCGGTGATTAATATATACATATTAATGTGTATACTAATTCATTAATCACTAGGGATTTAATTACACTTGATCCACAGGAACGAATTCCTTCAAGATCCAGTTCTTCTGTGATTCCTGATTCGCCGATAACATAAATTTTCTTTTCTTTAGGAAATTTAAGAATATTCTTAAGGTAGTAAGCTGCTATGTAAGCGGAGCAGAATATTTCATTCTAAATCAACTAAAGAATTAATGAATGACACATGTTTGATAATAGAGTAGAACCTTTTATATTATTATTTCATGACCAAAGATGACGTAAATACCTCATTGACTTCGATATTCAATTTCTTAAATTTTAAAGAATAGCTTGCGCGAGATTTTGCGCTGTTGTTGGTAACGAATATGAGTCTCTTCCCTACCCATATGAAAATAAAGACAAGAGTATCAAATAAAGGATCAAATAGAAATTGAAATCAGCTGCGAGACTTCTGCTACAAACCTTTTTGTCTTAATAATGCAAGAACCTCTCTAACCCCCGGAAGCAAGGTATTACCGTGCCACAAAACGCCTTTAAAAATCAAAATGTATAAATACTCACGTTCTGAAGTGAAGAAAAATTTTCTTACAGTGTTAGCCTACCGTCACAGTCGAGCAAGAAGGTATCAAACTTTTCAAGGAAACTTTCGTAATCATTTCGACTCGAGAGCTTGATAGGTGTAGGCATTATTATATATCGATTGATCGAATAAAGAGTTATGTATCACACAATTTTTTTACACTCGATAATATTCTCGTGACTTTGTAACATCTGTTTGCATAATCATTGATTATCAATGCCAACATGGTACGTACGTACATACATATACAGTGCATCTTTTCTTTTTGACAATACCAAATTTTTATTGCCGAAGTTAGGTAATATCATACTCTCAGGACGACGAGACATTAGCATATATAGTACATCTTCAAGTTCTTTTATGAAAAAATGACACATTAACTAATCCATAAATCTTATCAGATATGATTTTACCTCCATCAAAGTACCATGCTTCCAAAGGTCATGGGTTTACACCAGCACTTCATCGCGCAAGAAGGAGATTCCTAGTTCGCAATTCCGTGACTGGATTATTGCTACTGGGATTTGTTGGTGCCGTGTGTATCCTGGCTTAGGTGTTTACGTTTGTTTTGTCCTTTTTTTTTTTTACACAATTTCTTGACATCCACATTTGATCACAAGACTCGTATTCTTTCCTTGCGGTCAAACAAGATGATCTAGGTGATATTCCCCTGCCCCCGCTCCCTTCAACCAACAAGGAAGCGGAGCATGATCCTAAATTAGAGAAAACATAATGGATTCAAGGGAATGCATGCAATAAATCCCGATGTCTTTTTTCAAGACAATCACATGTAATATTACACTAATTTCTACTTTATCAACCGGATGAAATTTTTTTTTGGTCATAGTATATCCAGATTGATTTGTGGTTGGGTGTGATATTCGTAACTTGCTTATTAACAGATTCATATAATGTTCTGGTTCGTCAAAATTAAAATAAACGACATTGCAATATATCTAAATCTGACACCATATTCATTTTATGAATTGTATGTCCTTTTTAATTAAATAACTTTAGGTGAACGTACAGTTGCCTCCGAAAGTAATGCCCGATTTTATTTATTTATAATACTTTAAATCGGGCGTTACTTTCGGAGGCGACTGTACAAGTAGAACAGAAATTGCTAATATCATTCAAATGACAAGCACAGTAGTTGGTGCACCACTCACGTCGATTACGTGCATTCACCATTTTCCTTATGATCTCCCACGCTGGCCCCGGATGTGAACAAGCCAAAATTGGCTTTCTTATAGTGTTTATTTAATTACATTGGATCCATATGGAAAATCTCGAGTCAAAGATGCCAGTGAGAAAATATTAAGATCTTTTACCTGACCAGTGATCATACGATCAACGGGAACTAGATGACACGTGAAGATAGTAGGATTGTAATTTGAATACTTTTTTAAAACTAACAGATCGACCATTCCTAATATGAGGTGAGGGATGTCGATAATGTTACAGTATAAGATATAATAAGTCACCGTTACACCACACGTGTAAGATGTCTAATTTTTTACTAATTGCAAACTTGTAAATGTCAAAGTTTTTGATAAATTCGTTTTGAATTAATTTACCCTTGAAATTGAACAAATAAAGTTAATCTTTACTGTGCATATCGTATCCCATATAGGTTCAGGCCCAAATTCGACCCTCTGTAGCAAGATATTTCGAGCACCATTCACATCCCTGTCGATTTTCAAATCCAAGATTATTGTTCTTTATGAATCCACAATTCCCCAGGTAGCATGTCTTCGATCGAATTTTTCGTTTATTCTTTAAAACCATTCTCGAAGACTCGAACTTGGGTAAAATTCGTTTTCTCAATCGAAATCTCTTTCTCTTGTTTGTTCTTCACAAAGCAAGATCTTTATCGTTCTGTAATTTGTCATATTTCTTATATATTTCATTAAAATCACCGTAAACCGGTCATAAATGTGCGAACATCATCTTGGTTATCGATGATATTTAAAGAAATGGAAACACACAAGTAAAAATGTCCCAGATGATTTATTGTTATGTTAATCGTATTATTGATATCCGGTGATCATGATATCTTTTAGGAACGCGTACTTCAATCTCTAGTAAGAAAAAAAGTTGGTTTGTGTTTGATCCTTCTTTGATCGGTACTTCATTCGAAAATTATTTTCATGTAACTTCTTGTTTGTTTTGTATGCGGCTATCAATCGTCGAATCGCGTATGAACGTACTTCCCTAGGGACTCTGTTACCCAGTGAAGTTCTTCGGTTGTGAAACACTCATCGTTCAAGTAGTACTTTCGTATATCGCTCATATCGGTGATTTCATCATCCGCCTTGCCGTGAAGATAGTAATGATCAATAATAGCTCACCAGATTTGGTGTCTTCAATGTTAACGTCTGAACCGAGTATCACGATCTTTGTACTATTCTTGCCAAGAATCCATTTATAAGCTTCATATGCAAATCTGGTAATCACAACCTCCAAAATGGATGTGAAACCCTTGATGAATTGGTGATCCGGGCATTTCTACCTGAGGTACTTGCATTGCCTGTCGAGTTCCTCTTTTTGCTTCTTTGAACTAACTTATGCGTAACAGATCATTTGGTTTCCAAAATATCTTCTCCACATCTACTTTGGAATACAACCTGTTACCACCAGGTGTTTTAATACTTGATACATTTTCATAATTATTTCACCTTCTCAATGTTTCGGATGAAATTCGTATGTTTTTCGGATTTCCCATGTTCCTTGGTACTTTGTTATTAACACTATATTGCTCAAACGAGACTTATTTATGAATTATTTATATCATGTCATAGTGATGTTTCAATATTCTTTGTCACTTATCAGTAAAAGATTGGATCACGTGATAAATGTACTAACTCGTAAAAGAGAACTTTACCAAATTTAAGCAAAGCCATAATTCTTAATACATTTATGCGGCGAAATCGCCATACATAATCAATGGAAATCGGAAGTTCAATTTCCGTATATGTTGGGGCGCAAATAACACTATACTGTGACAATAAAGTATATAAAACGTTATTAACATGCATGTGATCGAAATTTTTTAAACATTATTTAAGGTATATTTGAACTCGTGGGTTCTTGAATCCTTGGTGAATTTGTTTTAACCAACGTGTTAATGGAGAATCCTAGCCCGGTCTAAGAGCTTCCACCCTCCGTCACCTTATACTCAAATACGAAAAACATCTGGACAGGTTCCCGAAAAAAAAATTGATTTTTTTACCCTTAAAAAACAGAGGATAACAATTTTGTAAAAGAAGACCATGATGACCATGAAATTAAATCTTTTGGTTCTTTACCTTATTCTCGCTTATACGTTAATAAGGGCAGAGACTAAATTTGTTGGTTCCCATATCGCTCAAAAAGTAAAGCCACCACCACTTAAAAAATTCCACGACAGACATATTTCCCAATTCTGCAAACTATCTAAGCTGGGACCCGGTGATGGAACTCAGAACAAAGATGGATTCTGCTCTTCGACTCCACAGGGTGAAGTTCCAAAATTTACACATATGCCGTCAACTTTAATCCTGGAGCCTCATAACGGTGCAACCCTAAAGGCACATCATAATTTTACCGTGAAAATAAAAACCGACAGTCTCTCTTTGGGAAATTTCGCCGATCCATTAACTCAGTATAACTTATTTTCTCAAACCTTGGATTCAAACGGTTTTATCCTTGGTCATCAGCACTTGACGGTACAGAGGTTGCATAAATTAAATTGTCCACCAGACGCGAAGGACTTCGCGTTTTTTGAGGGGTTAAATGATAGCGGTGAAAAAGACATCCTAACTGTTAACGTTGATAAATTACCACCCGGCCTTTATAGAATTTGCACTATATCTGCTTCGTTTTCTCATCAACCTTTAGTCATGCCAGTGGCTAAACGTGGATCTCAGGATGACTGCATTCGTATTACTCTTGAATAAGAATAGTGTGTGGTTTCAAATTACTAAAATTTCTTCAAATTTTATTGATGGATGTCGAATACGAATATGCTTGGATTTTCCTTTAACACTGATTTAATCCTTATTCACTTTAAAGACTAGAAAGAATGCCTGGTGTGTTTTTTTCCTAGATTTTCATTCTAAAAAAAGATAACGAGAACCATTGCATGGCTACATTCATTATAAATAAAGTCTCTTGCAAACCTTGTGCTCCTTTGCATCTCTATTATTTATCACGTGATTGAATCTTGAAAGGGAAACTACGTGACAACCTTTAATCCTAATTTTTGGTTAGAGATTATTGGACGGATAAAATAAAATACTTTGACTAGTATCATTTTAATTAGTCTTATTATGCAATCATGTTTTCAAATAGCGACATTAATGCAGCAAGTAAAAAAGATAAATTGGTAGAGATCAAAATGCAAAGCAAATCTTATTGACACGGGGCATTGAAAGCTACATTTCAAGACTAACCAAAAAATTTAAAAATCGGTTTTCTTATGTTTGCAACAACCAATCGAATGTGTGCGGAGTATTTCTGGATTTCATCTTAATTTGTGTAAATAGTTTCCTCTGACCCCTCATGTCAGAAATACGTAGTTTATAAAATCGCAATTAATCTTCTCAGACGTATGCACGTCAATGGATGGTCATAATTATAATCCAAAAATTTCAACCATTCCGACGAACTTTTGTATTCAAAATGCGCGTCAAGTTTTAGTAGAAAGCAGCTATGGTGATTTTGGGATGTCCTCTTCTCCACCGTCCGAACCATATTTGGGTCAAAAAGGCAGAAAGTTTTCTGCATTTAAGGACTTGAAAGAAAATTTAATCGGTAGACCTAAAATTTATGAATCTTTTATTATTAATGAACCAAATTTTAACTCCAAACGACTTCTCGAAAGGGGAGTCCGTATCGATTCGCGGATTGGTCACTCGCATTTCGGGTATAAAATTACTTGCGTCTGAAGTGATGTTCACATGTATGGAATGCAAAGGCCTCCAACAATTGGAATTTGATGAAAGAAGATATTACCCTCCGTTTAAATGTAAAACTTATGGATGCCGAAGCAAAGAATTCATTCCCAATCTGAAATTTGACGAAGAGAAAGGCCAAAAATCCTATGAGGATGTACAGGACATCAGGTATTCCATCTGTGTGTAGTGTACTTAGATATGATCACCTCAATAACGGCAGAATTGATAGGCTCCAAGAGGTTTTAGGTGATAGTGACGAAAACTTAATACTTCCAAAGATCATTGATTGTGAATTAAGAAGCAAATTGGTAGACGCGGTAAAACCTGGCGACTTTGTTACTGTCATCGGGATACTTCGGGTTTATGAAACTCCGGGTAAATTATTGCTTCTTTGACCAAAACTTCGATAGCACACCAATATTTCATCAAAAATATCTTATACAGCCAAGGAAAGGACAAAGAAAGGAACGAGGATGCACCATTTGTACATTGATGTCGAAAAGATCAGGAAAATCACAATTATTGAACATTTTTCGTCATGGGAAATCACGGAAGGTATCGCGGCACAAAACGATGGTTTTTTCTCGTTAAAAGACTTATATATGATAAAAAACTTTATCGAGTGCCAATCGAATAATATTTTCAAGGTACTATGGTTATTTGTTAAAGCAGACATGACCCACTTCTGTCGTTGATCCTACCCAACTGAGATGATTCATTCTACGACAGCGAATTGTAAACTCTTATTGCCCAAACGTTTATGGACAAGAACTTGTCAAGGGTAACAATCCTCTTCGGAAGTTTTTATTTAAAAATATATTTAAATTTAAGTCTTTTTCATTTTCTTAGCCGGAATATTGCTCTCTATATTTGGTGGAATTGATAATGGCACGATAAATGTCCTAATAGTTGGTCTGCTTTGTACTTTATTTTATTAGGGCATGCTTTTACGTATATCAACAGGACATTAATTTCTATTTCGCGAGCAGGTGATCCTGGAACAGATAAAGCTGATCTTCTTCAAGCAGCCAGTTCAATTTCACCTCACACAGTATTTACTCCTGTAAGTCAAGGTGGCAGCACGCCAATATTGCCGACATTATACCATGAAAAGTTAAGAGATGATTGGATTCTTGATGCGGGAACGCTTGTTTTGAGTAATGCCGGAATTTGTAGAATTGATGACTTTGAGAAAATAGGACAATCAAATGCCCTTGCGGAAGCCATGTCAAGAATGTCAATCTCGTACGTATATCTATTTCTGGTGATGACATCGTACATTCAATTTTCGAATGATTTTTATCTTGAAAGGATCAGCAAAGCAGGCGTGAAAGGTTCACTCAACGCTAAAACTAGTATAATGTAAGTCTAATCTTCTTGATGTCAATCGGTTCTCGTCCGATTTAACAAAGCGTCAATACATTTTCTGCAAACAGAGCAACAGCCAATCCCGTCAGTGGGCATTATGAGTAATTCTTTTTTTTTTAATACCTTGGCAATTCCTATCCTAAGGAAAAGACATACTGTATATTATTAATATTGTATTTTAGTAAAAGCAAATTTTTATCAGAAAACTTGAAGATCGGAAACGCCATCCTCTCGAATTTTGATCTCGTCTTCTTATTGTTGGATATTCCAGACGAAGAGATGGACCATTATCTTTCGGAGCGCGTCATGACTGTATCTATCGCGTTTTTTATCGTGTCGCACTTTTACTGAAGGTTTTTAAATAAGAATCTACGTATTAACTCATACGTGACAGATTCACTCGGGTGCATTTTCAAATGGAGATTTATACAAGGGCCAAATATATGGTGTGTTTAATAATTTTCCCAATGACTAGTATATTCATGTTATGTCACAAACTTCGTCAAATTAACATTTCAATTATCGATAAAAAAGTACCATCCATACGAGACATTAATAGAAGTCGTGCAGCTGACATATTACCATTATCAGAAAAATTAAAGATAGGAATGGACGATGAAAATAAGGAGTTACTCGACAATGCGTTTCTTCAAAAATATGTGGTTTACGCGCACAAATATGTTCAACCACGGTATGCGTCCTTATTACCAGCTCTCATCGGTAATTCGATCCTTTAACATTTTTAATAATCATAATCATAAGACTGTCAAGGGAAGCGCGAGAAATGATCAAGTTATTCTTTGCAAACATGGGAAACAAATATCGATCGATGAATGATATGCCGATCACCACCAGACAACTGGAAACTATGATTAAGTTATCACAGGCGAGAGCTAGAATGGAATTGAGAGAGACAGTTATTGTTGAAGATGTTGAGGACGTTGCAGAAATTATGTAGGTTCTCGTTGCATGATATGTAATACATATTTGAAGAAATTCTCTGATGTGATGATTTTCTGTTTAGGGAATTTTGCCTGTTTAGGATTCAACGAGATGAAAACTCGCGTGCAAAGGGGAAATCTAAAGCTGGTAAAGTATTATAATTTGTTGTTTATCGCAAGCAGCACCCTAAAGTAAAGTGTTTCTACCTTAGGTAAAAGATCGGGAAAACAGGCAGAGACAAAGAGGTATGAGATTGCGTCATTCATCACATATTCGTTTATATTAAAGTTAATCTACACCAGGTTCTTGGAGGAACTTGGAAAAATCAGTAATGCCAAAAGGAGCGATATTTTTACCTATCAAGAGCTGAAACAATTTGCCATAGGTAAAAGACACGCCACGCACCTAATAGATCACCAGTGTCAAATATTAATTTCACATGGTCATTACAGATTCCAAGCTACAATATGATGACTTTCAAGGTTTTATAGAGTCGCTTAATGATCAAAGCCTACTGCTGAAGAAAGGCCTAGGCAAATTTCAATTGAGGTTTGAATCAAATTAAATACACACTGATTCACATGATAAAAAATAAATATCCAAGGTCATTTTCATGTCCCATTAATAAAATGAATGATACAGTTCTTTTATTTGTAACATTGCAACAATCAAGTTATTTTCAATGAGTAGAGTCAAATTAATCGAGGGTATATATACTGCATCTAGAGTATATCCAAGAGAATCTAATTTTCCTCGCAAAAAAAAATAAATGAGTAATTTTATATTGGTGAGTTCCTTTACATTAGACCAGTATATGATTATGATTGATTGATTTCTATAATGCAATCGAATATCGCCAAAATGTGTTCCCTTAAAAATATCTCGTAAGTTCTATAAATTACCAATGATTGATGATGTACATCACTCTATACACTGAGGAACTTTCAAAACATCACCAAACTTTGAGAATATCCACAAAAGTACGCCATTTGTCCATCCGAAACCTGTTTGTACTACATACTCACCTCCACCTCCTGGTAAAAATAATTCAAGTGTATTATATTCTAACAAAAAATAAATATTAAATAAATATTACGTTAGATATGATAATGGCAAAGAGGAATACATTGAGACTGGGGAGATTTTCAGACATTGAATATTGTCACCTTCATGAAATATCATTTGGGTTACTAAGCGAACTAATCAAGAACTTACTTTCAAAGATATGACCATTATCTGTAACATTTGTCAATTTCTCCAACAGTCCAGGTATAGATCCACCCGTCGAATACCACGCACAAAATACAGAATCTACATATCGTTGACTTAAATTTCTTGCCAAACTTATGAATATTTCGTTATCAGTTTCTCCCCGGTCAATAAGCCTGCTATGAAAATTCAAGAGCCCCTTTATTAAAACATAATTCAATGGTGGCCACGAATTCGGAAAATCCCATTGTTGACCCGAATCGATTAGGGTTGTCGGCGGAGACCCTGGGTACTTGGAAAGCAGGTCAATGATGCGGGAGAAAGATTTTATAACTTTTGTAGAGTTTGTGGCAAAGTCTTTAGGTAATGATTCGGCCCTGTCACGTTAAACGACATATACCAGTGAGATAAAGCGGTGACTGTATCAATCTAATAACCATTCACATACTTTGCAAAATCTTACCAAAACGGAAAATACGTTGCCAAGGAAAATAAGTTAGTACTACTTTTGCTAGTTAAATTGTAATCTCCATATGATCCCAACTCTTCATTCCATGTCAATTCTTCGATCCCTTCGAGCCTTTTTCCTGCAGCATCTTTAAACGATCTGACCATTTTTGTGTCCCCAATCTCCCCAGCAAACTCGGATAGAGTCATCTCATTCATATATAAAATTGAATTTAGATCGATCGGTATTATGGAGCGAGTGTTTAATGTACGAAGATAATCTATTGTGTTCGCTGGTAATTGTTTTGCTGAAGGCTCCCTCACCCATCTCGAAGAAAAATCCCACCCAGATTCAGCCGCAGTCGCGATATCCGCGTATAATTCTCGTTTTGCGGTAGAATTAAACTTCGTGGCAAGTTCTACTGTCTCGTAATCCTCAAAGTAGCT